GTGCAAAAACTTTTCTCCTTGAACCATCGACAGAGGTGTGAAGGCTAGGAGTGGTGTGTTCTGTGGTGGTCTGGTGGCTGTGAGCAAAGCCAGGGCCTAACCTGGAGCCTGTAGGTGGGAGCCTCGGGTGTCCAGAGGGACTGGGTCAGCTTGGGGTCTGTGGAGCAGGGACACAGCTTGGCTGTCACACGGGCAGGGCTGCGTCTGAGTTTGCTTACTCTGCGGAGTCGACACTGGCTGTTTGTGGAATGTATGGATGGATGAACAAATGGATAAATTAAAGGGGATCAGGAACTTAGAAGTTCAGGATTAGGGATGAGTTCATTTTTCCTCCTTTCCCTGGATTTAGGGGCAAGCTTGGTTAAATTGTGGAACAGGCCACTTGCCATTCACAGCCTCCCCCTCTTTTCGCGCATCTGTCTGTGTCCTGGCTCGGCTTCTCACTGCACAGGTTTCTGGGCTCCAGTCAGCTCACCTCAGCCCTCACCCTTATTACCTCTCCTCAAGCCCCGCACACATTCCTTTACGTCTCCGCTCAAGTTCCCATTCTCTCCGCAGTGGTTCTTAGGAAAATCAGGTGATTGGATGAATATAGCCTTAGGTGCAAATGCCTAATGATCCTTAACTCTCTGAAAGGAAAATTGTACTTTCAAAAGAGAAAATTCCCTCGCTCTCCATATCTGGAAGTAGCAGGGAGCCAGGGAGTCAAGGCACCAGGCTGCCCTGGAGATTCCCCTCCTTTCCTCTGAGCCCATATCTTTTATAATAGTGCCAAGCTTAGGGCAGTTTCCTTGGAGACTCCGGCGAGGTGGAAGTGAGGTCCAAGCCGGGGCTGGGTGGACAGGGCGACGACATGGCAACGGCGTCCTCACACAGAACCATCATGAGCCATCGCCTCCCACTTAGCCATGCATATGGCTTTGGTTGGATTTTTTTGTCCCGCTTTCATTTTTCTTTTCCTTCCTTTCCTTTCCTCTTCCTTTCTTTTGAAGTATAAGACATATATAGAAAGGTACACTAAGTATTGATATACAGCTTGACTTATTAGGAGCTGACCTCGTACGTGCATTTTCAGTGGGAATGTCCCAAGGGATAGAATTGCTGGGACTCAGGGAAAGCATTTGTGCCAGAACACCACAGCTTCCCACAGTGGCTGTGCCTATCTGCACTTCTGCCAGCCGTGTTCTGAACTCTCAGAACAGCTCCACAGCCTTGCAGTACTTGGTATTGTCCTCAGTTTAAGTTTTCACTCTTGAGGCGTATGTGGAGGGGTGTCTCGTTGCGGTGTTAACAGGCATTTCTCTGATTTATAATGTGGATGAGCACCTCTTCCTGTGCTCACCGGCCACTGAGCTGACCTCTTTTATGAGCTGCCTGTTCAAGTCACTCACTCGTCAATGTACTGTTTTCCTGTCCGCGGGCTTGCAGTGTCTGTTGGTCTGCAATTGGAATCTTTGATTCTTTTTCTAGTAATTGGAGAATTGCAGCTCTGTTGGGCTTAGGGGGAGAGAACTGAGCAAATCTTAGAGACAAGTGCACGTGACGTCTTCTTGTGCCTCTTTTTACCCAGGTCAACTACAGGCAAAGCATCGACAAGCTGAAGTATAGCTCTGTGACCAACACGCCTCAGATTATTCAAGCCAAAATCAATGCCCAGCAGCTGAGTCATGTGAGTGACCTGACCTGCTCTGCTGGGTGGCGGGACTTGCGATTGCTTTGTGGCCTCCAGATATCTGACTCCCCAAGGTTTTGACTTTCATTAATGGCGACATATGTCTTACTACGACTGTGAAATGACCCCTCTCAATTTAAACATTTTGCTCTGGAAAATTTCAAATACATTCCAAGAATAGTGTAATGAATCCCCATGTATCAGTCACCCGGCTTCACCAATTATCAACTCATGGCCAGTCTTGCTTCAACTATATGTCCATCCACTCTGTTCCCCTCCCATATAATTTTGAAGAAAATCCCAGGTGTTGCACAACTTAACCTATAAGTATTTTAGTTTGAACCTCTAAAATATAAAAAAAATTTACACATATTTATACAATTTTTAATATGCCACACCAGTAATTCTCAATATCACCAACGTTCAGTTAGCATTCAACATACCAATTGTCTCATAAAGTTATAATTTTTTGTATAGTTTGTTTGAATCCGAATCCAAATAAGATCCACGCTTTGTGATGGCTTGATATGTCTTTCAGACTCTTCCATCTTCAAGTTTTCTTCTTTATCTCTTTTCCTGCAAGTTGGTTGTTGAAGAAACTGGATTGTTTATCTTGTAACGTTTGCCACAGTCTGAGCTTTGCCAGCCGCATCCCAGTGTGGACTTCACGTGTTCCTCTGGCCTCCACATGTCCTATAAAATAATATTATAGTTGGGTCTATAGACTTGGTCAGGTTGAGGTTTAATTTCAGAGTAAGACTGCTTCTCAGGCGATGCTCTGTTCTACTGGGAGTCACATAATGTCTGGTTGGCTCTTTCTTTGTGACTTAAGATGGCTGTTATTTTTTTCAATGTGGGTAGGCATTTGATAATTTCTCTCTGAATAGTCACCCTGCATGTGGCAAGATGTTCAGGCCTGCAGCAAGCTAAAAAACTAAGTTTCATTCCCCATGTGCTTCAAAGGAGAGCTGGTGAGCTGGCCACAGGGAAATCCTTTGCGGCCTCACAGCTTCAAATATCTATGAGTTGTTTTCCTTTTCATCGACATTCTCAGTCTATTCATTTAAAACATTCATAAAATTACAGGCCTCCTTGTAAAATGTCTTTTCCTGAAACCCCGTCTCTGCTTTGAGTCTAAGGGGGAAGGGAAAGAGAGAGTGTCTCTTCGGTATTCTCCTTCTGCCCATGTAAAAACCTTGCATTCACCCTGCGGGCTTATTTTAAATTCAACAGGTGAATTACCGCGCTGACTATGAGAAAAATAAGCTGAATTACACATTGCCCCAGGATGTACCTCAGCTGGTGAAGGCCAAAACCAATGCCGAACTCTTTAGTGAGGTAAGCAGGCAGCGTGGGTGAGAGCATGGTGGGGGTGGCTACAGAGGTGGACGTGAAGATAGCCGTGCCAGTGAGCCAGGACTAGTCTGCGAATGAAAGCAGTTCATCGAAGGCACCCGCCACGTTATAATTTTGAGTTTTGCTCTCTCATGGAATGTGGTAGTTCCCTGGGGATAAGTTTATCATAGCAATTTAATTCTCATTATATGAGCACATGTACATGAACACACACACTCATTACCGTCACCATCGTCACCATCATCATCATCGTCACCATCGTCATCACCATCATCACCATCATCACCACCATCATCATCATCTTCCTGATGACCAGAGCTTTGCTGTGTAGAGAAAATTTAAGTTTTAAGAAGATCAATCTTAATCACCAGATTCTTAACTAGAGTCACAAATGGGCTGTGATTAGGCTTCTCATTCTCGATGGACTTTGTGGGGCAGGAGCAAAAAGAAAAGGAACTAATGTTTGTTGAGTGTTTGTTCCATGCTGGGCATTGAAGTAGGCAATTTATGTATGGAATTATTCAATGGTTATAACCCCCAGGAAGTATTTTTTATAAGGACATAATGGCATGGGCTTTGGTATCAGATAACCTTGGTCAGATGTTGGCACTGTCATTTTTAACCCATGACCCTATGTAAGGTTTTAATGTCTTTGAGCCTCACAGGCCTATTGCAAACATTTGTTGAGTAGATGAGTAGAAGGCACTTAGGAGAGGGCCATTGAACAGTAGGTGCTGTTACCATGGCATTGTCAATATTAATACCTTATATCTCTCTTGCACTTTACCAGCTTAAGGTCTATTTTCATATACTATATTGAATTTATTCTCCTATCAGCCTTGAGACAGATTAATATGATATTCTTTTTGAAAATGGTAAACTAAGGCATAAAGTAATTTGCCCAAGGTCACATGGTCAGAAAACAGCAGAGCTAGGGTGAGCTCACAGGTCTTCCCTTGGTCCTGTCCCATTACCACTGCCCTGCATGGCCCAACAGCTATGGAATCAATTAAGGGTCTTAATAATTGCTATGGTCATTTTGATAATAATACCAAGATTCTGGTCTATGGACAGATGAAAAAAACCAACTTTGCTCTTTTTTTTTTTTTCCCGTAATTTCTCTTCAAGTTTTGACAGGAATGTAGATGGTGACTCCTACTCCCCTGTGCTTTTGTTTTTCAGGTTAAGTACAAAGAAGGCTGGGAGAAGACCAAGGGGAAAGGATTTGAAATGAAGCTGGATGCCATGTCTCTGCTGGCCGCCAAAGCTTCCGGAGAGCTTGCTAGCAATGTGGGTTTTCTCTTATTAACTCAGAAATGCATAAGAAATGTCAGTGGCGCTGCAGAAAAAAAAATAATGACTGTTAATGTTGTAAACATTGCAATACTTTAATCTTCTGGGTGTGAAAGGCTGAGAGGTGTTTTTTTCTGAATTGTTCCCTTGCACTTGTTAAAAGCAAAGCCCCTGAGATCGCAAAGTTTCTCTCTCACTCACAGTAGACTTTCTTCTTTTTCTCAAGATTAAATACAAAGAAGAATATGAAAAAACCAAAGGCAAAGTCATGGGAACGACAGACTCTAGGCTTCTGCACTCCCTGCAGGTTGCCAAGATGAGCAGCGAGGTAAATTCTTTTCTTACCCCCCACCCTTTACTTAGAACTGTGTCACTTTCAAGTGTTTTCCTGGGCCTCCTTCACCTGGGACTGTCATCTTTATTGACTTCCACCTATTGTACAATTTCTTTCCTGGCTCTCACGAGAAGTTTGTTCCATTTCTTTATGTTGACAAAGCATACCATTCTTTTAAAATAGATAAGTAGTGTGGCCCCTAAGGGTGACCAGCATCTCCTGAAGATGTTCGGTCACATTTATTCATCCTACAGATGTTTGCCACGCAAATACTCTGGGCAAGATCCTGTGAGACACACACGAGGCCATGAGAATGAACGCCACATAACAGGTTCCTCCCCAATGGAGCTTAATTCTACTGGGAGAGTTAGACAGTAAGCACCCTGTTTATTGTGGCAATGTCCTGGATGAATCCTGTGGTCAGAAATACACATGCTATTCAAGATAGTTAGCAAGCAACTAGGGCATCCAGGCTCCAACCAATCAAAATGACACTCCTTCTAAACAACTGAAATGGCTGGCGATTAACCTTAGTAAATGTCACTTACCAAAATCCTTTGGAGGAAAGAGTGTTCTGCTAGGAGGGACAGACTTGGTTTCTAATCAAGTCTTCCCTGCCAATGCTGAACAGTTAAAAAGGACACAGGAGTATCAGGTTTCTGCTTTACAATGCCTGATCCAAGCTGTGAGGCCAGCTTATACTGCTTTTATGGTGCAGTCGGATATATTTACCTGATGAGTCATTAAGGAGCCATGGCTTGACTAGACTAAGAGAGTTAGCATCTGGGTAGCCATTTTGGATGTGCCTACAGAACAAGCCCTGTGCAGTGCCTAGCCATCCTCATTGCTAACATTTATTAAGCATTTTCTATATGCCCATCGCTGCACCAAGCAGGTGTCACCTGCTAGTTTGTTTACTTACCACAATAGTCCCCTGAGGAGCATGAGGTTTTAGAGAGGTAAAGTAACTTTCCAGAGGTCATCCAGCTGACAAAAGGGCAGATCAGGTTTGAACTCTGGCTGCTATGGATCTGGAGCCCAAGCTTTGTTATTCTGCCTCTTAAAGCTTCTACAGAAGCCAGGAATAGAGCGTTTGCCTCCTGGGGTCGCCAGGTGAAAACATTTAGGATTGGTAGGAGGCATTCCACCCGGAGATGAAGTAGTGTAGAACCTCAGCCTCCCAGCACCATCGCCTCACAGAGCCAGGATTTGGGTCCCTCCTTGCTGACAGACAGGTGGCATTGCCCAGGGGGCCAATTTCTCATGAAAGCCTGGACTTCTTTCCTGTGTTTGCACATCACTCTGGAAAAGGCAGGCTTTAAGCAATGGGCCTTGTTTTGGTGCATTCAAGGTGGAATACAAGAAAGGCTTTGAAGAGAGTAAGACCCACTTTCACCTGCCGATGGATATGGTAAACATCACGCATGCTAAGAAGGCCCAGGCCCTGGCCAGTGACGTGGACTATAGGAAAAAACTGCATGAGTACACTGTGCTGCCTGAAGATATGAAGACTCGGTGGGCCAAGAAAGCCTACGGGCTCCAGAGTGAGGTGGGCCATCACGCATTGCCAGTTCTCCCCATGCATCTCTTGCCATTGGATACAGTGACACTTGCAGAGTGATTTTGAACCTGTGCATGTGTCTATTACGTAAGGCGGAGGAAGACCTGCTAGAGATGTGCCAGGCCCAGGGAGGATGGGTGGGGAGGTAGAGATATAGAGGCAGTTGAGGCAGTGGAGACTAGAGGGTGGAGGATTGGGGTTCAGAGCTATGATGAAAGTCAGGATGAACAAAGAGGAGTCAAATGTTGAAAATAGTAAGTAAATCTTGGAAATTTAGCAAGTTGGCCGATAGGGTTCTTGATCAGAAGGTCTGCAAAGCCCTCTTTTCGGTTAGGTTGTGCTGTTTCAGCACTAAGGTAGGACATGCTCTTTTGGTAACAGTGGGCCCTGTGGCTTTTCCCCCGCCCCCACCTTAAGTAGAGTTCTGCCTATATGACTATACAAAGAGTAGGGAGAAGGTCTTCTAGGAAGACAAACACAGGAGCAAGGATTTTCCTAATGCTGCCCTCAACTTTGTCCAGGCTGCATCCATGTGCCTGATGAGAGTTTGGTGTTTCTCTTGCAGCTACAATACAGAGCCGACCTGGCGTGGATGAAAGGCGTGGGGTGGCTGACCGAGGGCAGCCTCAATTTGGAACAGGCCAAGAAGGCTGGACAGCTGGTCAGCGAGGTAACCTGAGCCCCTGGCTTCTAGCAGTGATCTTTTGCTCTGATTCTGTAACCGCACACCCCCCGCCCCGACCCCTAGGCTTATTTTAGGTGTGACTCAGAGGAGCATGTCTTCATTTTGTGTCTGTAGTACATCCTGCACTCACCTTCCTCACCTTTAAACTTCCTGCGGAGGTATTTGCAAGAAGCCTGCCAGTTTGCTTTAAGTTGCCAGTTGCATCCAAAGAATAGTTCAGAAGGGTTGCAATGCGCGGTCAGTTAGCACGTGGGAAGCCTGTGTTTGTTGTGTGATGCCTTCTGACCTTTGGAGGTCAGCCTTCTCATTATGCTCGTGCCTTAACCTCACTGCACACTCCAACCAAGCCTACTCAACCCTTCAGATCCTCTTGTTTCTCACATAAAAATGAGAAGGTTGGACACAGGCTACCCTCCAAAGTCCCTGTGGCTCTAAGCCTGGTTCTCTTTTCACCGTGTAAAGCTGCCTTGGCAGCGGGCACAGGAGGACTTTTAAAGGGCATTTGATATGGAAATGGGACTATTTTAGGAGCTGTGTTTGGGATCCTCAAAGGGAGTTCTTGTTTGGGGGCCAGGAAGGCTGAGTCGGCATCTCTTTTGCAAATGGTAATAATAGCGATAGTCGTAACTACCAGTTGCGGACTGATAATACTTACGTAGTCATCGCCGCCATTTACTGACCACCCAGCAAACACCCTCATTTATTGCTCACAGCAGCCCTATGTGAGTGACACTATCAGTACCCTAGTAATGTCCCATTTTACATAGGAGGAGAGTGAGACTTCAAGTCACACTTCCAGGAAGTAGCAGAGCTGGCACGCGTATCCAGTGTTTCATCCACTGCCCAGCTAAGCAATATTATACCCCCAAAGCCCGTTTTGTAATTTATTCTTATTTTCCCATGGCACGCATCCTTTGCCCTGACACAGACACAGTCCAGCTAAAATGTATAAGTAAGGAAGGTAGAGAGAAGACAATGACCCTTTAGGGTCCCTATTAGCTTCTTTGAGACCAGCTGAACTCCAGGTGGAGCAACCGGAGCCCCATTTGTCTTGGACAGGGGTGCAGCGAGCGGCCCCAACCAGCTTTAGGAATGAATTCAGCCTGAGGAGTGTCCACTTCTGTCTCACTTCCTGTGCCTACTAATTGTTGAGCTCCTTGAGAGCCAGGAAGGTATCATTTCTTTCCCCTTTTTAATATCTCTGGTGTGTCCTGTGCAGGGTGGATTCTTGGCTCGTCAATTAAGTATTTTAACCATTGTGGAGTCTGGGATCGCTGTGACTTCCCAACCAGGAAAGGGCAATGCGACTTCCTTCCATTATGTCATGAAGTTCACCCATTTAACACACTGGAACTGAAAAGGAAATTACAAGTCTCTGAAATATTTGCTCTAGAATTTCTAAGAGTTTTCAATATTCCAGTCCCTGTTTGGGGTTCAGTTGGTATCTATAACCCTCTTGTCGACAGCACCGTGTGTGTGTGTGTGTGTGTGTGTGTGTGTGTGTGTGTGTGTAGGGGGTTGCTTAGCCCTGATCTCCCCACCACGTGAAGCTTTTGCTTCAGCAAGCCATCCCCAGTGGCCACCTGTGCCATCAACTTTGGCAACTCCAATGGAAAAGCCAGAGGAACTAACCTCCGTGGACAAGATGTCCCCGTGTGAGGGACGGAATTAGCACATTTGAAACTTTGCCAGTTACTCTGTGGCTGTGAGATGGGGACACAGTGAGGACCAGACCTCGGGGATCTGGAGTACTAAGCAGCTGCGAGGGTGAATCCACCTGGCTGCCAGCCTCCTGTCTGTGGCTCCTGGCACTGCCCATCCTTAGAGCAGGTGCCGCCTGGATCATCACGACAGCACCATGAATAACGCTGATGGCTGACGCAGTGAACACTTACTCTGCCCGTGGACTCCACTCATGGAGAGCATGGCATTGGAGCCTCCACTCCACCCCCAGAGTGAGGCAGCTCCCACGGGCTTCCCTATTATATAGTCAAAGCACGAGTGGCTCAGTTGATGAAGTGATGTGCTCAAGGTCATGAAGCTGCAAAGAGGTGGAGGCGAGATTGGGACCTTGGTCTTTATGGTTTTAAAGTCCAAGTTCCCTATACCTTACTCTCTCCTGGGTCAGATCTAGACTTATCAAATGGACACATCCCAGAGCACACGGTGAAATACAGGATTTGCTAAGGGGGAGAAACTCAAGTCCCATTCACTAGTAGCAACTAGAATCGTCTCACCAGAGCAGGCAGTCTCAGGTCTGCATGGTCCTAGTTAAGCTACAGGACCAGCTGGAACATCTCCCAACGTGGAGATGCTTGGGCCACAGAAAGCAGGCGTGTATACGTGCGTACGTGTGTGGTGGTGGGGGCAGCTTAATCCTAATGCTATCGGGTCCCTTTTCTTTGGAAACAGAAAAACTACAGGCAGAGGGTGGATGAGATGAAGTTCACCAGTGTGGCCGACAGCGCCCAGATGGAACACGCCAAGAAAAGCCAGGAGCTGCAGAGCGGGGTGAGTCTGGGCTGCCCTTTCTCTACCAGGCTGCTGTGTCATGGGCCTGGGGACCTGCGGGGACAACTGCAGGAGCTGCCCAGGCACGATCCAGGAACCAAAGAACCGTCCCTTTAAATAGTCTGGACCCGACTTTCTGCAGGCTTCCAGGCTGTCTCTGGGGACTGGGCCTCCCTGCCTCACCCACCACACTTCTCCCCTGGTTATCGGGGGTAGATTCCCAGTGATATTATTCATTTTCAGCTTTCAGTATTGCCTAATTCCTTCTTTCTTCTTTCTTTCTCCTTCTATCTCTCATCAGAGACTCCATAATTCCGGACAATAGAGAATTGTCTTGGAGGAGGATAACATTTGCTTGTGGGCTGTGTGCCTTTCATGTCCACTTGAGCTCAAATGTGGGAGGCAGAGTAATGAAACCCCACATTCGTTATTCAGCACTTGCTGTGTACCTGCACCCAGCAGGTGTTATATAGTTGCTACAGTCTGGCCAAAACCTTCCTAGCTTTCTATCCTAAAGGTCCAGCTACACTTGCCAGAAAGGATGCTATCAACATAACTCAGACTCACCTTGGCAACCCAAGCTGGGGGTGGGAGGGAAGGGGAAAGAGTGGCGAGCTTTCCGTGGAGATGTTCACTCGTGTTCTTTTTGGCCGCTGCCCACTTTCCAGGTGTCAGAACCTACAAATGCATTAGGACTGATTATAGGGGTGCAGGAGGCAGAGTATGCTTCTTATTTTTCCTATTTGGGGAGTCTGCTCATCTGAAGCCTCTGTTGGGTTATTTTTTGAGGCCGTGGATAACGTGGGTGAGAACAGCTTGGGGAGGTCGATGCCTTCTCAAGGGAAAGGTGTGAGAACAGAAACCTTGGAGTGGTTTTCAGACTGGTCCCCTGGCCACTTTCTTCCCTCAGCTCCTCACTGCTGCTTGTCCTTCTCTCAGCTCCTTAGTGCCGTAAGCCTCGTATGCTGTATCCTGCCAGCTAGTGTCTGGTCTGGTCGGTTTTGTAATGGACTTCCCAGGCAAGTCACAATAGATTCGAGCAGTCGTAAAGACCCACGAGTGATGCCACGCCACCCACCCGCCCCTGCCATCTGCTCCTGACCCAGTTCTCTCTCCCAACAGGTGGTCTACAAGGCAGGACACGAGCAGTCCCTCCATCAGTACAGCATCAGCAAAGACGAGCCTGTCTTCCTACAGGCCCGAGCCAACGCTGCCAATCTCAGCGAGGTACAGCAAGAGGGAGCGGGCCGCCGTGGGCTCTGCTTCCCCGTGTAGGCGTCTGGTCAGCAAACCCCACCGGCCATGCTGGAGTGTCCACTGAGCTTACATATATCTGGTCGTTGTAAAAAGCTCGTCCAGCAGACCTCGTTCCTGACCAGTGTTTTACGGGGAGGATAGCTTTCACTAGGAATGAGCTGGTGGGGAGTGGAGCTGCTATGTGTTGGGGTAGGAGGCACTGGTTATTCCAGGGTTGGAGTTGAAAGCGCATAAGAGCATGTCACAGGGGAGTGGGTCTGAGCTCAGGCGTTAGCGCCAGACTGCCTGGGTTTCATCCTTGGCTCTGCCACTTACTAGGTGTGTGACTTTGGGCAAATTGTTTGCTCTCAGTGGTCTGGTTAAATGAGGGTAGTACTAGTCCCTTCCTCACTGGGTTGTCATGAGGCTTCAGAGCTAATCTACAGAAAGCACGTGGAGGACTGTGCACAGCGTAGCTTGACTCTTAGGCACAAAAGTATGCATAGTTCCAACTTTCCCATCTGTCTTCTAAGGAGGGCCTTAGGTGTTCCACTCAGCTCCTGGGTCTTTGCGGTCAATTAATGGGTTGAGGGGAGAATTTGAAGGAGCAACAGAGGCTAAATGGGTTCACATGCAGGAAGGGAGGGGAGCCTTCCAGAAAAAGAACTGGAAATCTGGAGGTGCAGGCAGGACAGGAAACAGGAGGTGTAAGGAAAAGGCCCAGGAGGGCTAGAGGTTGGGGACAGAAAGAGAAAAGAGTGCGGCGGGGACTGCTGCTGGGCTGGGTGGGGTGTGTGGACAGAAATGGGGAATACGTTCCAGAAACGTTGCTGTGTGCTGTGCAATGTTATTTCCTTGGCGTGGCTTGGAGAATTTTCGTGAAGACCCCTAGTATTTTTCAAGGCTTCTGGAGTTCAGTTTCTGCTGCTTCTGACTGAAGCCATGTGTATCAAGAGAACTGAAGGCCGGAACAGGAAGGCCCGGTCGTATTCAGGTTGTAGGGTTTCTGTGGCTCTTGGGGTGCCTGGGAAAGATCAGTGTTTGTCTCCTAGAGGTGATTGCGGAAGCTTGGGTTGCCCTCTCGCACGAGGATGACCTCTCTTCTCCCGAATCCCCTTAGAAACTGTATAAGAGCAGCTGGGAGAACCAGAAGGCAAAAGGGTTTGAGCTGCGTCTTGATTCTTTGGCTTTCCTGGCAGCCAAAGCCAAGAGGGACCTGGCCAGCGAGGTGAGTCGGTGTCCAACTTGTACAAACCCTCACAAATCCTACTGTTTACATGTATACACACACATACATATACGTACATATATATACACACATATGTACAGACAATACATATACAATGCATATTCTGTAATATATGTATATATACTGCATATTTACATTGCATATGTGTTATATATACATAAATACATGTAGATATCAGCTGAACTACACAGTGGCTTGGTGATGGGGTTGCTTTATATTCCGACACAAGCTCCTTATCTTATCAGCTGGTAACATTTCACAAACCAGCACTGGTGTTCAGATGCATGTTGAGCGGCACAGGTTTATTCCATGCCTGGCTCATAGTAAGTGTTCAGTAAACGGTGGCATATCGTGACACTGCTATTATATGGCTGGAGTGTCCTGATGGCCACAGTAATGATAATGTTGAAAATAATGCTACGCACTGGTACCCTGTTACACTTTTTAAAGCTTTTCCATATTTCTTCTTTCTTCTGATCCTCATTACTCATAGCCTAGTACTTTTTTTTTTTTTTGAGGCCAACACGCTCCCTTTTGCTCCTCATACTCCTAAACATTTATGTGTTTCAGTTGGGTTTTAATTTGAGCTCCTTTCTCAAACAGCAATTATATTTTGGATATTCTGTGGGTTTTTTATTTCATGACTTTTTATTTTTAATGTTCTCATCTATTAACCCAAAAGAATTTTAAAGTGATTTTCATGAAAGCAACAGGCCACTTAAAAATAAATCCAGAAAGAGGAATCTAAAATCATATAGACAAAAGATGGAATTTCACCAGAAAATTGGGAGAAGGCTGTTCTATAGCTGAGCATTCAGTTTGGCTCTGAGCTTTTTGGCAGCTGAGGTGAAAAGAAAATAATGAGCAGTAATATTTTATTTCACTGTTTGATGAAAGGAAATACATTAGTTGTTCAAAGGAGGCGAACTTTTGTGGCACTGATTCTAATAGGATTCTGTTGTAATGGCTTTGTTTTAACTCTCATGCACGTGCCCCTACTGTCCTCCTCTCCTTTAGGTGAAGTACAAGGAAGATTATGAGAGGTCCAGAGGGAAGCTTCTCGGGGCAAAGGGTGCCCAGGGAGATTCTCAAATGAGCCACTCGCTGCAAATGTCCAAGCTGCAGAGTGAACTGGAGTACAAGAAGGGATTCGAAGACACCAGATCCCAGTGTCACGTCTCCCTGGACATGCTGCACCTTGTGCACGCCCGTAGGGCTCAGCATTTAGCCACAGACATAGGCTACAAGACGGCGTCACATCACTTTACAGCTCTGCCCACAGATATGAAGGTGGAATGGGCCAAGAAGGCTTACGGTTTACAAAGCGATGTAAGCTGTGTGTGTGTGTGTGTGTGTGTGTGTGTGTGTGTGTGTGTGTGTGTGCTAGCGTTGGTGCAAGGGTTTCCCCAGACCTTTCAAGGCGATCGTTTATATTTATAGGATACCTGTTTCTGGATCTCTACATGGAAACAGTTTAATTTCTTAGTGGTTTAATTCTTAATTCAAACTAGACCCATTATAAATTCTATATAACCAAACAAAATCAGAAGCTGCTTTTTTCTCCTTGGAATTCTGATCTACATATGTTTTCTATGTTTCTTTTTATTGCTGGGATGGGGGTGGGGAATGTATTTGTGACATTCTTAACTGTGGCCTCTTATGGAAGAGCATCTCTGATACTCGGTCCAACTTTCGTAGCCTCCATTTTTAGAATGATCAGCTCACTAATCTCCAATAACCCTCTTGCTTTTTTCTTTATATCCCCATCTGGTTCTGCTTTCTTTCATCTTTGGTTGACTCTTGTACAAGGAAGTGGGGGAACTGAAAAAGGCAGCTCAGCTGCAGCCAGACTGTTACACAGCAGCTGGGGTGGGGGCCATCCATGTAGACACATCCTTCCAGGTGTGTCTATCCTCAGGATAGATAAGGGATATGCTAGTTTTAGAGATGTGTCCAATTAAATGGCTTTCCATTAAAACTACTCCTTCACTGGCAAGTAAAGAAATGAGAAATACACCCCCACACACCCGCCCTGCACCAAGGAAGGAACTGGCACTGCAGGCAGCCTCGGCTGTCTTGTGAAATTTTCTCAAATGGCTCCCCACCTGAGTTCTGTTGTGAATTCTCATTTTCTTTTCCCCTGCATGTCATTTTAAACAAGAAAATGGGGAAAGCAGACAATGAGGTCGCTCCTTTTCCCGAAGTAGACATGAGTCTGTAATGAAGGACAAGGTTGGCTCTGCCCCTCCCAGCCCACCCCAGTAGTATGGGGTGGGGCCTAAGGCCGCCATCAGCGGGACAGCTCCAATTAAAGAGGAAATTAATTTACATTTTGGAACCTCACCTGTGACTGGGCAGAAATGGATAAGACAAAAGTGGCATCTCATTTGACTCAGCTGGCACCAAGGGTACATTAGGAGCTGTTAATAGCCCTTTAAATATCTGTGCACCAACAATGGCTTGACTTTTTTTTTTCCCCTTTCTCCTTTGTCAGAACCAATACAGGGCAGATGTGAAGTGGATGAAAGGCACCGGCTGGGTCGCCACCGGGTCATTAAATGTGGAGCAGGCGAAGAAGGCAGGAGAACTCATTAGCGAGGTGAGATTTCCTGACAGCGTGCAACAGGCCTGGCTGCATTAGGCGTGTGGCATTTCTGTATAAAATTAAAATAATTTCCACTCAAAAGGCAAAGAAAAAGGCAAAGGAACATGAAAGGCCTCAAAACCCAGACCAAGGCTGGTAATTAGAGAGAAAGCACATACCAAACGCACACCAGTAGGGGCCCACAGAGCCCCAGCAAAAACAAAGTGGGTGACAAACGATATTATAAATAATAATGACAATCAAACAGGAGCTCAATTGCTACCCACTAACTTACCTTTTTAATGAAGCAACACGGGACAGATGATGAAAAGACACATTTATGGCTCCCAGAAAGCCCTTTGGTGACCTTAGGCATCTTTTCTCCCTTTTTCTTTCCGCCACAGTGTAAACAGCTTTTGAACCATCACGTGGTGTCAAACACGTGATGCAGTTCTCTCTCATTGGCGGGGGTCTCACTTCTATTTAAGTCTCATTCCTGTCTACTTGTAGCCACCTTAGCTGGACCCTGAAGCACTCCAGCTTATAAAAGGAACCACTTCCTCACATTTTAGGGCAGTCTCCTTGAGCAGATCAGGGTTTCTCAAGCTCAACACTAGACATTTTGATAATTCTTTGTGTGAGGACTGTCCAGGGCCTTGTAGGATGGTTGGCAGCATCCCCAGCCTCTGCCCACTAGATGCCAGTAGCATCCTGTGCCCAGTTGTGACAACCAAAAAGAATTCCAGACAGTGCTGAAAGGCGGAGAGCCACTGGACTAGACACACCAGCGAGCTGTCTGTGGCGAATGCCCACAGACAGAGGCTGAGCACCCTCCAACCACCCGCATCCACCTCTGTTCATGTCTCTTGGGGGAGGGACTTGCTCAGAAGGCAGGTGAGCATTTGTTTAGTTGCCTTCAGAGTAGCCTGGCCCTTCTAGACTTTCCTGGGTGGGAGGAGACCATAATGGCCATCGCCCTAGAAGATTTCAGCCTTGGCAACGAGCCCCATGGGACCATGTTTTAGTCCCAGGAGAGACTGAATGTATAGTTAAAAAAGAAAAAGACACCTATGTTGGTTTTTCACATACACCTGCCGAGCGTTGCTATTTTCCCATAGGAGAGCATTCTAGTGACCTGACATGTCACAGAGATGATATCAAAAGGGGGCTCACTCTGATTGGCCTAAGTTTTAGGGCGTTAGTCAACATTCAAGGCTCAGAAGACCCTGGGTGCTCCGTGGAGACTGGACTGCCCTAGGTAGCTCAGTCTACTTAAGGAAAGGCCCTCTTAGGAAGATGAAGGTGGGAAATTGACAGGAGCAAACAGTTAGCTTTGAGGATTCCTGATCCCAAACTCTCAGTATCGTGCCCCGTCATAAAAGGACACAAAGAGTAAAGACCATTATACACGCAATTTAGACTTCAAGATGATTCCTTCATGCATTTAAGTCTGATAGCTGAGGGATCTTTCTGGAACCATTTAATTCCACAGTGGTCTTAATTTTCCACCTTATTTTGCAAACTTACTCCACAAATTTGCTTACCTTGTGTGCTTCATACAAGTCTTCAAACTTCAGTAAGTCAAGGCATCTTTTAGCAACTTTTCCCAACCATCTCATTTCAGTTCAGTGTCAAATTGTGTTGACCTTTTAATTTTTGGGCAGAGCACAGGGCACTGTTGAAAGAGCCGCAGATGCACACACACGCACACACCTATCACTTAAAGCAGGGGTCAGCAAACCTTTTGTGTAAAGGAGCAGATAGTAAATATTTTTTACTCTGTGGGCCACGTGGTTTCTGTCACAACTACTCAGCTCTGCCACTGGAACAGATAGCAGCCATTGACAATATATAAGTGAAGGATCATGGGTGTGCTCCAATAGAGCTTTACTTATACAAACAGGTGGTGGGCCACATCTGGCGGCATAGTAACCCGTGTCTTCTAAAGACAACCCAGTATGCAAAACTCCAACCCGATAAATGAGGAAGTATTTATAAAATAATTATTCAATTTGTGAAAAGATACACTTCATAATTCCATTAAAACAGCAACTGTTCTAGTCCCCTGCAAATGTACTCTGACTGAAAAGAAACTGAGGAATTAAGCATGATGTTTAGAATCAAAATTGGGCTCCTAGGCCTTTGTCAGCATTTGAATTTGTTTCTTTGTTTATTTGTTTCAGTATCTTTTCAAATTGTGTGATGACTCAATCATATCACCCTTTTTCTTATTATTGTAACATTTTAAAGAATTATTGTGTATGTTAACAGAACCAGGTTCTAAAGTGACGAGATAGTGTATGATCACAGACTGTCAAACATGAGGGTTTTGACTGTGATAATCTCTACCAAGTCCTTTCATGAAAAGAAAATAGAAAGCTTCAATTGATAAATGTAACCATGAATATTCTTTCTTGCTTGGGAGACCCAAACTAAGATATGTAAACAACTATGAGACAGTATTTGAAGCATATACATATATATATATATATATATATATAGACTTCATTCCTAAGTGTATATCCCACAGTATTTTACTGGTATAACCTAATTTTGAGATATTTTCTTTGCACCAGGTAGAACTACTTTAATGTTAATTGACATGAGGTTATTCTTAAATTGAAACAAATAGTAACCGGAAGGCACCCAGGATGTAAAGATGGAGGAAGCCGAATAATAATTATGTTCACAAATTCACTCTAATCTCGAGCAACCTATGATTTTCTCTTTCAAATGGCATGAAAGAGCAGCATAAAATTCACGGCTTTGATCTTTTTCTGCTCAACAGAAGAAGTACCGTCAGCATCCAGATGCTTTGAAGTTTACCAGTATTAAAGACACTCCGGAGATGGTGCAGGCCCGAATTAGTTACACCCAAGCCGTGGATGTAAGCGATAATATATATACATTATGACTCTAAGAGTGGGCTCTCCTTTCAACACTGCGATTGAAGCTGAGGGGTTCTTGGCTTGCTCCTTCTGTTGTTCTAAGGATGAAGGAGCTTCTTGCTGAGGCGCACCTTAGTGGGGTGCTTCCTCATTAGGATGCAAATGGGGTGTTACAGCTCTTAAGATGCCAACTGGGGCTCTGACACCCCACTGCCCTGATGCGCTGACTCCTGCCCAAGTGCATGTCGCAAAGATTTGTCTGTGGTTGGGGCCTTTTCCCCTTTCCTTTTGTTTTAAACCTTTGTTTTCAGAACTGGAACTTTGGGGCGAAATTCTTGGTAATTGGAACACTGAAGCCACGCTCAGGGCTCCCTGGGACCCAAGGGCAGGAATTCTTCCTCGCTGAATTTCCCATAGACTTTGAAAATGACTGGGGTCTAATGTATGTACATTAGACTCAACCTACAAGCCACTTCCCATATTCCCTTTTTAATGTGAAACCAAGATCTGCCCTTTTGTCCTGTCAGCGCAGAGTTCACTGGAGACTAATTTGAATGATGAAGCCCTATAAAAATTCACTTTAGGACATGAATTAACCATGTTTGGCTAATTTGAGAGAGGCCCACAGCCCTTTGTGCAGGGCAGACATACCTTTTAAATATCTTTAAACCATTCAGCTTGCCACAAGGAAAATTTACAAACCTTGGAGGGAGGCATTTCAGAATCCTCTCCCTTTTTTTCCCAGTTGAGCAAATTATTCTGGCTGTGCTTTATATGACAGGCATTCTGAAGTGGCCTGAAAGCCTGCCAGACGGAATGTGTGCTGGGGTGATTTCCAAACATATGGGTTTAGGAATTTATCATATCTTGATAATCAGCCCATCAGAACCAAACTGAATTCTGAGAAACGAGAACTTTTGTATAAAGGAAAACAAAATGCCTGCTCCTTCCTTACCCTAACCAACTCTAGGGGGCACTGCTGTGATACGTAGAAACTTGGA